CTTTGGGTGTAATATAAAATTCTGAAAATTTTCAGAATTCCCCTCCCCCCCGTTTCCTACTGCACTCTGAAAAAGAAACTTCCTACTCTTATTTTTAAAAATTCTGAAAGTACCCAGTAACTTAAAAATGGTAACTGTTAAACTTAATCAATCTCATCTGCATTTCTTTTCCATTTCATCCTTGTGATAAGTGCCAGCTTTGGGATGACAAGTTCTTGCTATAATTTCAGCACTGCGTCTGAGTGTTAATAGTCTGAAGTCACTAACCACATAACTGAACTAACATTTCTTAATTATATATATTTAATTTTTTCTCAACAAATCTTTTATTATTATTATTATTTTCTCATTGAAGAAATCTAATCTGGATGTTACATTTACTTCTAATGATAATAAAGATAATTAAAAAAAACCTGAGATTAGAATGCCCTAAGTATCTTAAGGTATCTGCCTACGTTCGGAGCACTTTTTTTTTAAAACATAGAATTCTGATGAAATATATATTTATTTAGTCAAAATATGATATCAAATCATGAAAATAGGTAAATTTTTAGGAATATTTTCATAAATTTTTTAAATATATGCAATTTTATGCATATTTTTAGGAGAATTTAACACTTGCGTTAAATGTCGTATATTTTTTTCTACAGCATATATTTCTATTTTATTTATACTGTATACTACTACAACACTCATCTGTGTTATGAACTAAAATGTTTATGATATTTTTAAAATTTACTAAAATATGTGTAATTACATGAAACAACACAGTTTTTTGTAAAATATTTCTTATCGTTTTATATAGAAATATTTATAAAACAATCAAATTAATAAATATAACTTAGATTGTAGCTTAAAACCTAGTAAATAATATAGAAAACACTATAGTGAAATTTAATAGGGATACCTTTAGAACATTTTGAGTAATTACATTTCTTGTATGTAAAAACACTAGAAAAATTAGTTTTCCAGAAAACGCATTTAAAGATTTCACATTAACAGAAAAACTGTTCTGTTGTATTTACACACTTAAAATTCTCCACATTTGTACATCACACCCTCCATATCTTTATACTTAAGGTAATTTTGATTTCCTATTTGATTTTAATTTTTTTCTGGCTATTTTCGAAATGAGCGACGAATGACGTTTCGAGTTCTTTATTCTTTCGTTATCAATTCCAAAGTAATTTTTAATCATTTCTTGTTCCAATTGATATGCCTAAATGTTCAAACACAGGAAGTAATCCAAGATACCCTGAATTAAAAATTAAAACTGCTATATTATGCACCCAACAACATAGTCTTTATACCTAATCGCAATGTTGCCAGACCCAGTTCAAAAACCGCAATGTTGCCAGTCCCAGTTCAAAACATTAAGCCAAATAATTATTGCCAGAAACAAAAAAAAAAAAAAAAAAAGTACCCAGAATTAAAATGAAATTTTTTAACGCAATTTTACACACAAACAGGTAAAACAAACACGGATAACAACATTGTTTACCTTTAAGTTGAGCCTTTTAAATGGCAATTGCGGTCTTTCTGCTTTCACTTCCAGTGCAGTTAATTGGCTATATTTTCTCTTATAATTATCACAAACGTAAAAATGAACCATTTTCGGAATCCTACAAAACTGACCTTTCAAATTGGGCAATTAACAAAAAATCGAATTTTTTCGCCGAAATCGTTTTTTAACGTAGGCAGATACCTTAAGTAGAAGAAACTATCTTTCCTCTATATAATTTGATATAGAAAAAGCTAAAAATATTTTTTATGATAGAGCAAATTAAAGAGACACAATTCCCAAATCGAGGTTTCATTATAAAAAATATTGCTCGGCAATGAGAAAGCGGAACAATCGCCTGGTGTGTAGTTTTGGAGGACACAGACGTCGTAATCTATATGATGAAGTTTAAAATTTTATTCTGACTTCTACTTGAATTGACTACTACTTGACTACCACTCTATTGGAAAAAAAAAAATCGAAGCACTTTGAAGAACTTTTGCAATCGTAACGAAATTTGATATGCAAAAACATCTTGATCGAACATGCAAATGATTAAAGTGTCAAGACAAATGAACAGGAATTGCGATCATAACGCACATTTCTAGTGCGCAATTTGCAAAGAATAAAACCAGTAACAGAGGCGGAAAATTTATCTTTTTTTGTTGCTGCCATTGAAATTCCGTAAAGAAGCAACTAAAGATGCCATTACGACGATATCGAAGGCCTTACAGACAACTAAACGACTTCGAACGTGGTCGCATTGTAGGGTTGCGTGAAGCTGGATGGTCCTACCGAGCAATAGGCGCCATCTGCAGCGTACATACACTGCTGTGCAAAGATGTTGACAGCAATGGCTCCCGAATGAAGGCTTTGGAAGCTGCGAGGCAAGATAGGATGATTGTTCGCCAGGGAAGAACCGCCCCAACGGTATCATTGTCGAGTATTCAACGTACTACAGCGACGTCTATACCTTCCGTGGTACCGTCCAACATCTCACGGCGCTTATCTGAGGCGGGGTTACGCTCACAGAATGTTAAAACAACTCCCCTTTAAGACGTTTTAAGACGTTTGTCTTTGACCCCACAACATCGGCGAAGTCGTCCGGAGTGGTGTCGCAGCCGATCATTATGTCTACCATCAGATTTGAATCGTATAGTGTTCAGCGATGAATCCTGCTTCACTCTTGAAGCAGATGACCACCGTGTTCTGGAGAAAAGGGGCAGCGGTCCAAGGCCAACTAGTTGGTCCTAGGCCAACAGATATCTAGTTGGCCTTGAGCGGTCCCACTCAGCTTTTGTTTTACAAAGGCATACAGCCACAATCCCTGATGTGATGGTGTGGGGCGCTATTTCTTATGACAGAAGGTCATCTTTATCAGGTATTATTTAATTTACAGTAGATCATCCTCCGTACATCTTTAACAGCTCAACGATACGTTGATACCATCCTGCTGCCGGGTGCATTACCCTTCATGGCACACCATCCTGGGGCCATTTTCCAACAAGATAGTGCCAGGCTACATACCGCTCGCATATCTCTGGACTGTCTCCGTGCGGTTATGATACTCTTCCTTGGCCAGCAATGTCCCCAGACCTTTCACTAATCGAGCATGTTTAGGACATGGTAGGCCGCCAGATTCGGGCACAACAAAATATCGCAGATCCGGAGCGACAACTGATAAATGCCTGGCAGAATGTGTCGTAGGATGACATCAGGAACTTCTCCCATTCCTTGCCTCGACAAATTCAAGCATGCATTGCCGCTAGGAGCGGTTAGACCAACTACTAATTTGAACACTCAGTGAGTGATTGTGAGCTGTGAACAGCCGTTATCATTTTATTATCGGTGTATGAGCTATACACATATTCAGTTTCATCAAAAACAAACGCTCTGCTGAGGATAATGAAATGTGGACGTGGTTTTTTTCCCCCTGAGTAATTATGAGGCCCTTCATAATATGCTTTCATATGTGAAGTATCATTTTGTGTAATTTGTGCATTTTTGTTCTTCGACGACTTACTGTAATTTTGGAAAATTTGTGTAGTCCCTGTATTTCACAACCTGATAAGCCCTACGGACCTGTATTTGTAAAACTAGAGGTGGGCAAGTCTAAACGAAAGAGAGCAGAATAGAGTCAAATACATTCAGTAAAATAATAATAATGTTGCTTGCATACGGGTTCTTAACAGATTGAATGCACAAATCCGATAATAGGTTAATAAAATTTATTCTTACCAAAAGAAATATTTCAGAACTCTGGAGTTTTCCATATAAATATTCGTAAAAGTGTTCACAGTATTACATGGTATAATCATGTAATACTGTATATAGTTACACTACAAACTACTAAGAACGTTAAACACAACGTACTGCAAAGCTCTTCTAAAGGGAAAGCTAACTCAGATAGCTCAGTTCTCGCAAAACCAAACAACTCGCAATAGCAAATAGCAATAGGAGTACGGAATTACGGTTACAGTTAACGCAGTGATCAATTACACTTATTCAATTTCAATACATATTGCGGTAAAACAGAAACTGGACCAAAATGGCGCCAAATTTGGCTACTTTTGGCGATTTCTTGCCAAATTACTGAGATACCCATTTATTCAATGTTAAATGTACTTGCCTCAGTGTCCTTACTTTTCCGTCATACCTTTCTCTTAAAATTAGTCTCAGAGCTGATTTATTAGCAGAAGAGAGTGCATTTATGTTCAAAGTGCTTTTTAAATAAAAGCGGTTTATTTCAGCCTTTCCAAGTCTCTGCAATTACGTTCAAACATAGATATAGTTAATTATACTTGGATACTTGTTTGTTACTTGCTTGATACTTATTTGTTTGAATTATTTGGGGATAGAAGAAATTAAAACATGAACGGTGGTTTAATTTGGATTATACGTTGATAGACTGTATAAATTTATCTACGTGCATTCATGTTTGCTGATATTACTGACTACTCATACAGATTACGCTAATATCGACTTCGACTACACCACCGTCCGAGTCTTGATTTGTTTATTAGTATATAAAATTAAAAAAATTTTGTTTGGTTCTTCCATTTTTATTCTGAAGTGCGAAAATATGTTAATACACAAAATTCTTCTCGTCTGAAATAAACAAGTATGTTGTCCATGATCGTATGGATCTAATGCCTTTATCTGTATATTAATTCACGGGATCAGAGCTATTCTAGCGCTTTTTTATTTGCGAATATTTATTATTCATTTGACTTGTAAATGGTGTTCTATTCTCCTCAACAAGAATTTTTGCAGTTTATAGATAACTCCATCTGGATTTTAGGTGCAGATAACTTCAGAAAATGACTATTACTGTTCTTAAATGAACTCTTTCTATCTTTTCTTTCATAAACTGTTAATAACCCATACTACCTGATTAACACGAGATTCTTTATAAACAAAATGTCAGAGAATTAATTTTCAGTGATTTAAATATCAAAATCGAGAAATATGACACATTAGAACGAAATTTGTGGCAATAATCCGTGCGGTAAATCGTAATGGTTTAATGTCGTATGGTAGCTGGGTTTGAGAGTGAAATAGCCATTTTAAGACACTGCGTTCTTTAAATTGAAGTCTGGAATGGCTAAGAAAGCATATGATTTACTTTTTAAATTGTTATTGATAGGGGATTCTGGTGTTGGTAAAACATGTATATTATTCAGATTTTCTGACGACGCCTTTAATACGACTTTCATATCTACCATAGGTAAGTTGCGGTCATGAGTAATGCTTGCTCAAAGCAACTTATCATTGTTTATTTTCGTCGCATGATGTTATACCTTAGGTTAATACATGTAAATTCATAAACACCTTTTTTCTAAGCACAGAGTTTGAGCTTTAAACTAAAATTAATATAATGCAAGACATTTTTACATATAATTATGAAAAATTCGGTCATTCTAATATTTTGTGTATGAGATTTAAAAGAATCTTAAGTTTTTCGTACCACACATCATGTTACCATCATAGTAGGCAGTGTTAACATTAAATAATTTTAGAGAACTAAATGCTTATAGTTACACTGCTAGACATGCATTTGATTAAAAGGTCATGCTGTTTATCTGGATAAAATGATATTTGTAATTTCAACAATTTAAGGAAGTATAAAAATGAAGGAAAACTAAAGTGTATTTAATTGCTCTCACGTTTTCCTCGTGTTTTGATGTATCTTTTACTTCTATATGGAGTTTAATTCTTAAAAATCAACTATTTTAGAAACTACTGAATCAAGATGTGCAATAATTACTAATATTTAGTGTTCAGTTAAAATGCAAACCGTGTGCTAGATATATATATATAATTAACTATCTCTAGTGGAATATAAAAATCTTCCAAATTGATGAAAATCTTGCAACACATTACAACTTTAGAATATTTATTTTACCAAGAGCAGGTTTTTACCTGTTTATGATACTTCAATTAGAAATAGTTCAGTATGTTTTCATTACATGCATGCACAAATGTTTTTCTGAATATGCTTTCTGAGATTCATTTGGTTTGTTAGTAATTTCTCAACAAACTTCTTTTATGTAGCTTTAAAGAGAGAGGACTTTCTTTTTTAATAGATAATTCTGTGTATGGCTAATGCTGAATCATATTAACTCAAAATGTTTTTATATATTTTGTCTGCAGCATTTTCCATAAACAAAGATTTCTAAGATAGTGTTACTTTTCTCACATAGTTGTTCTATTTGTTATATTCTGTGGTGTTGTTCTTACATGTAAAGATTGGTAAATTTTGTTTTTCCTTTTGTAGTAATGTCTTAGTGATTTATTTAAAAGTAGGAAATGAAAGGTTTTGTTTTTCAAAATCTAGTTTAAACCGCACCCACATTTTTTTTCCCCTATAATTTTCTCATTTGAACTGAAGTTGTAATTTTATTTTCAGAGATGTGAGTAACTAGTAATAATTCATTTAGCGAAGCTTGTGTTTTTTGTTTACATAAGAAATACTAAAAGCTCCCCCCCCCATAAAAATAAGGGAGGAAAACTACAAATGTAAAGCTGTTCCAAAAGATTTCGGATGGCTTGTATGAGGAATTATATCATATAAATTATTATATTGGTATTTACAAAATATAAATGCAGGAAGTGTGAAATAACATGATGCTATTTTATACTTCCTGTAATTGTCTTATGTGGATATTATATATTGTTTGTCACGTATTTTATACTGTTACCAATACATCATAGTTATACTGTTACCAATACATCATTGATGTTAAGTATATTTTGATTTCAGTATATTCTAAATTTGAAAGTCTCACATTCTTAAAACAATGGAATGGTATTTTAACTAACACTCATTAGATCCATGCTTAAATTCTTTACTGCCGTGGTAATCAAACTGTGGATTTGCAACGTGGATAAAGATTCTAACAAATCTGAATTAATGGTGTACGAAGGATAGGCACTTTGATTTTGGGGGTCGTTTCCATTTTTACGAAGTCTCAATGCCCTAAAGTTTGAATACCAGTGCTCTCTTGTCTCTAGAGCAAACACAACTTTTATTTAAGCTGATAAGGTTGAAAAATTTGATTTTAAAAATTGAAATTTTTTTTCATGATACCATTTTTATGAAGTTTTATTTCAAGGAGTTTAGATTGATAGATGGTTATGATTATAAAAAAGTTTCACTTGAAATATGCATAAATGTTCATCCCTCGTATTTAAGAGATAGTTGCTGCATTATTGAGTTGTTGCAAATTGTAATCAGCAATGTATTTAAAATATGAGGATGCTTTTTAAGAAATTGATTTGAATTGAAGGATTGTATTTATCCGACTTAGAATAATGTAAGGTGTGAAAAATCATGTAGTACAGGAAAATAAGGAAATATCTCACTATCTCAGAACTTTTACTAAGAACAGGAAATTTTAGAGAAGCAAAGACTCGTGATACTCATTTTATACTCTGAATGGCAAAACAATTCTCTCTGTATAATTTTTTTTTTTTTTTTTTTTTTAACTTCTTATAGTTAGGGCTTTGATTGTATTTTTTGTCGGTACTCTAAAAGCTTCAATTTCCATTTTTTGTAATTTGTATACTTTGTGTATGTGATTCTGTAGACAAATTGGTCTGTATGCGATTCTCTAAATAGCATGTATATGTGGTTCTCTAAATAGCATGTATATGTGGTTCTCTAGATAAATTCGCTTTGATTGAAATTTTTGATGCAGTGAATGCACCATATTCAGCTGGTAAATGCACCACATTCGTGGATGTTTTGGGATCACATGGTAAAAATGAGCAATCAGATAGTGTTTAGCAAAAAGAAAAATGATGGTGACAGATACTGTGATAAGCTTCAAGCAAGGAAAGAATACATTACTTAAGAATCCTTGTTTTCAGAGTTCAGAAATATCAAAATCATAGCAAGATTTAGTTGGTATTAAAGTTGTTGGTTATTAGTTGGTATTAAAAAATTCAGATGCAAAAATGAAATTCGTATCCATGAATTAACAAAACATTCTGTGATAAGTATTTCTCAGTCCTAATCGCACCCACATGTACTCGCCATTTTATTCCGATAAATAAAGAGCTATCTATTCCTTAAAAAATTTGTTGGAATGATTAATGCAAGTTTGGCAGGGTCTCGGCAGCTTTGGCTTTCAACAAGAGCCAATTTTAACAGTCAATAGAATAATATGCTAAGTATATTTAAAATAAACTACCATAACACACAACTGCAGCACATACAATCATCTACTTCTAAAAAATGAAAAACTTGTATAAACTGGAGTAAAATATGTAAATGACTGAAGTTATTATGCAGTCCTGCATTTTTTGTAGCTCATACGAGTCAGAATCTGCCATGTAGATTGTTAAATGTCAAATAGGTGGATATCTGTCAAGTATACATGTCAAGTACAAATAGTACATACTTGCAAGTACAATTAATATGCAAGTATGTATAGTACTACATACTTGCTTTATGCATACTTGATTGTCTGACAAGTTAAACTTTGGTAAAATGTTGAGAAGATCATGTAGATAACAGTTGTCTCAAACTGGTGGGATGCACACCCTCCGAAGTCATTTTATACACCCAACAGTCCAAAGTACATTTTTATTATGTATATGTTGGAAACATAGTGCCAAAAATTTCCAAATGGGCGAGGTTATGAAAGCAGTAACTAAAACAGTAAACTTTATCTGCAGACAAGCTGTGAATCATCTTGCTTGTTGCATTGCTGAAGAAACTGAAAGTGAGTACAGCGAAAGGAAGTGTTCTCTTATTTGGACTGGATTCAGAAATGTATGTGTTCATGTATGTACGTACATATGAATGTATGTGTGTCTACACATATATGTACATACATACATTTCTGAATCCGGTCCCAGTAACAGTAGCCAGAGAAATTATTTAGTATGATGAGCTGTATTAAAACTGTTTTCTGATTTCATAAATGAAATCACACGATGTAAAAAATAAAACCATTGATGAGCTGTGTGATGATACATGGATAACAGATTTGGCAGTTCTTGACTTAACCAGACATTTCAAGTTATTTTCAATAAAGAGCTGCTCTGATTTTATACTGTTTATATACAAATGTATGTACTTTTTCTGCATGTATTGAAGAGATGTTTCAGATAGAAGAAAGAGGGTTGTCGTTATTTATTCTCAAATTTTTGTTTGACTTCAAAAGTTTTTTCTAAAAATTTTGAAAGTTCTTGTAAAATTTGTGTATTTTTAATTTAAGCAAGTTATTTAGCAGTTAATTTAACATATCATAGTTATAAAATGAATGTTGGTTTGAAAATTTCATATCATAGTTATAAAATGAATGTCTTTTTGAAAATTTAGCATTCAATACATTTGAATTGCAAAGTGTAATCGGAAGAAATTGCTTTTATGTACCAACATTAAGATTTCAGATTGAAAATAAATATAAGTTTGAATTTTTTTCATTTTTTTATTAATATTTACTACGTTTTTATATATTTGTAAGGGATTAGGAACCTAAAGAAACTAGGGTTAAGGTATATTTAAGGGTACCCCTTGGTGATTTTTGGCGGTACATGGATACCATGTTTGTGCAATTCTTTGACTTGTTATTTTGGCTTGCACTACACAAAGCCAAAATAACAAGACAAAGAATTGCACGAGCTCGGTATCCATGTACACATCGATCTATTTTCACTTAAAAACAATCCCAGAATTGCACGAAAATGGCATTTCGCAATACCTTTATCCATGTACACATCGACCTATTTTCGCTTAAAAAACATCAGAGATTTGCACAAACTAGGCTTTGCGCACTCCCTTGTGTTTGTCCATGTACACATCGATATATTTTCACTTAAAAAGTATAAACCAAACAATAAAATAACATAAAAAAGGAAAAACCTGTTATGCATTTAAGCACTACACATAGCAAATATCCACTTACCTTATTTAGAAATTCTTTAGTCTTCAGTCTGTGGCACACAACATTCCTTAACAGCATCCAAAAACTTCCTAATATTATCTGAACTCGAATCCCTATATTGGCTTCACCACATAAATTCACAAAAATAAGAGTAAAAAAATATCCTACGTAGTTCCGGATTGTTTGGAAAATGGCTAAGTAAACCTTTATTTACACACCAGGTCAATTAATGCATTTTCCCCCTTTCGTTCCAAATTGTACAGAAACTTCAAATTAATCTTGCTACATTCAGCCATTCTACCGTCTGAACAATGAAACAAGCAATATACTT